TGTCTGGAAGAAAGCTGCCTCTGAGTTCCTGCCCTGATGCCAGACAGTCCAGTTCCTCCTTGTATTTCCCTGGATTCCCCAAAGCTGCCACCCAACACTGGAGCTTAGAGGAAGTGGGACCATGTAAGTTCTGCGCAGGCCCTTTAAGAGGAACACATGGAACTCCAGCAGCCTCCATGTCACTCAGCTATAATCCCCACTGGTTTTTTTTACAGCCCGAAGTTACAGGGACTTCTAGTCCCAGCACTGGAATCCTGGGCTATGGTTTGCTATGGGGCTTGGAGCTCCTGCTTCTCATGGAAGACCTTGGTGATATCCCTCCAGATTAAAAAAACATCACACGTGGGTGTCAGATCAGCTTGTTCCATGCCTCGCCCCCTCCTACGAGCCTCAGTGTGCTTTCTTCTTTACTTCTCTAGTTGTAGGACTTCCATTCAGCTAGATTTCAGATGGTTCTGAATGATGATTGTTCTGTATTTAGTTGTAATATTGATGTGGCTGTGGGAGGCGGTGAGTACTGGCATTTACCTTCCCTGCCACCTTGCCCATTTTTAAATTGGATTGTTGTCCTTTTGTTAATTTGTATGAGATCCTTATATATCTTGGAAATTAATCCCTTATCAGATGCATCATTGGCAAATATATTCTCCCATGCAGTGGACTCCCTTTTCATTTTGTTGATGGTTTCTTTTGCTGTGCAGAAGCTTTTTACTTTGATGTAGTCCCATTTGTTTATTTTCCCCTTAGTTTCCCTTGCCCTAGGACAGTGGTCGGCAAACTCATTAGTCAACAGAGCCAAATATCAACAGTACTTCTTCAAAATAGACTCGCCCAGGCCGAAAACTGACTTCTGCACATGGACCATGAAGTTCCCACACATGGCATTTTGTGAAAGAGCCACCCTCAAGGGCCAAAGAGCCGCATGTGGCTCGCGAGCCGCAGTTTGCCGACCACGACCTTAGGAGATGTATTGGCAAACATATTGCTACGAGAGATATCTGAGATTTTGCTCCTTATGGTTTCTTCCAAGATTTTTATGGTTTCATGACTTACGTTTAAGTCTTTTATCCACTTTGAGTTTATTCTTGTGTATGTTGTAAGTTGGTAGTCTAGTTTCATTTTTTTTGCATGTACCTGTTCAATTTTCCCAACGCCATTTATTGAAGAGATTGTCTTGACTCCATTGTATCCTCTTGCCTTTGTTGTCAAATATTAATTGACCACAATGGTGTGGGTCAATTTCTGGGGTCTCTGTTCTGTTCCATTGACCTATATGCCTGTTCTTTTGCCAGTACCTGACTGTTTTGATTACAGTGGCTTTACAACTTGATGTTTGGTATTGTGATCCCTCAAACTTTGAGGTGATTCTTTGAAAAGATAAACAAGATTATCTTTAGCCAGACTCATTAAGAACATAGAGAGAGGACCAAAATAAACAAAATCAGAAATGAAAGAAGTAAAGTAACAATGGGCCCCACAGAAGTAAAAGGATTGTAAAAAAAATACTATGAACAGCTATACTCCAACAAGCTGGACAACCTGGACAAAATGGATGTATTCCTAGAAATTTACAGTCTTCCAAAATTCAGTCAGGAAGAATGAGAAAACCTGAATAGGCTGATAACTACTGATGAAATTGAAGCAGTAATAAAAAAAAACTCCCAGCAAACAAAAGCCCTGGTTTAAACAGCTTCACAGGGGAGTTTTACCTTTGGTTCGGAGAAGCGCTAACACCTTTCCTCCTCAAACTATTCCAAAAAACCAAGAGAAGGGAACACTTCCAAGCTCTTTATGAAGCCAGCATTAGCCTAATTCCAAAACCAGATAAAGACTACAAAGAAAGAAAATTACAGGCCGATATCCCTGATGAGTGTAGATGCTAAAATCCTCAACAAAATATTAGCAAATCGGATCAAGCAATACATCAAAAAGATTATACACCATGGCCAAGCGGGGTTTATTCTGGGGATGCAAGGCTGACACAATATTTGCAAATCAATAAATGTGATACACCCCATTAAAAAATGAAGGATAAAAATCACATGATCATATCAATAGTTGCAGAAAAAGCATTTGACAAAATCCAGTACGTATTTCAGATTAAAAACAAAACTCTCAGCAAAGTGGGAATAGAGGGTCATACCTGAACATAATAAAGGTCATATATGGAAAACCTACAGCCAACATCATACTCAATGGATAAAAAGTAAAAGCATTTCCCTTAAGATCAAGAACAAGACAGGGATGTCTGCTTTCACCACTCTTATTCAACATAGTACTGGAAATCCTAGCCACAGCGATCAGAAAAGAAGAAGAAATAAAAGGCATCCAATTTGGAAATGAGGAAGTAAAACTGTCATTATTCGAAGATGACATGATATTGTACATAGAAATCGTAAAGACTACCAAAAAACTACTAGATTTAATGAAATGAATTCAGCAATGTAGCAGAATCCAAAATTAATATCCAGAAATCAATGGTATTTTTACCCAACTAGAGGCCTGGTGCATGAATTTTTGCACAGGTGGGGTCCCTCGGGGTGGCCTGTGGGGATCAAGCCAAACCTGCAGTCCAGTACTGCCGGCTGCTCCTGCCTGCCACTCTCACTCATCTCAGCCCCGCTGCCCCTGCTGTGGGCTCGTGCCACTGCAGCGGCACTTGCCAGCTGTGAGCCCTGCATCTGGCGCTTGTCCCGAAGGGGCTGGAGGGCTGGGATGTGGTCGGTCCTCCGGGCGGGCGGTAGGACACCCTTGCCAGCCAGGGATCCAGATCCATCCTGCTGACGTTCGCAATGGTTGTCGGTTGTTGGGAGCCTCCTTCCAAGAGGCTGGCAGTGCTGTCAGGATTGTGCCAGCAGCTCTGATCCATCGTTGCCTGGCCCGTTCTCCAGAGATTAGACCTGCAGGACTACTGAGGAAGTGAGTGGCTGCCGCCAGGCTGGTGGGCCACCAGGCTGGGTCCATCAGCTAAGTGGCACTCTCGCTGTGAAAGCACACTGAACCACCAGGGGGCAGCTCCTGCGTTGAGCGTCTTCCCCTGGTGGTCAGTGCATGTCATAGCGACGGGTCAACTGGTTGTTCAGTTGTTTGGTTGCTTAGGCTTATATATATATATATATATATATATATATATATATATATAGTCTAGAGGCCTGATGCATGAAATTAATGCAAGAGTAGGCCTTCCTTCCCTCAGCTGCCAGCACTGACTTCCCTCTGGCACCCGGGACCTGGGCTTCCCTCGCAGCCTGGGCTTCATCTGGAAGGTCGTCCGGAAGGACATCCAGTCTAATTAGCATATTATGCTTTTATTATTATAGATACAGGTAATGAATTCTCAGAAAGAAAAACTAAACAATCCCATTTACCATTGCAACAAAAAAATTAAGAAACCTAGAAATAAACTTAACCGAAGAGTTTGTAGAAGACCTGTACTCAGAAAACTACAGGACATTGAAAAAAAGATTTAGAGGAAGATATAAATATGTGGAATAATATACCATATGCATGGATTGGTAGAGTCAACATCATTAAAATGCCCATATTACTCACAGCAATCTATGGATTCAATGCAATCCATATTAAAATATCAGCTGCATATTTCACAAATCTAGAACCAACACTCCAAAAATTTATATGAAACCAAAAAAAAGACCCCAATCTTGAGAAAGAAGTACACTCCATAATTCTTTATATTACTTTTTCTTCATAGCACTTTTTACTACCTAACTTTGTGTTATGTATTTATGTGCTTTTGTCTCTCAACTTGAACATAAGCTTTATGAGATAAATGACTTGATCTGTTTGCTGTTATATCTCCATTGCTTAGAACTTTGTGTAGCATATTTTAGATACTCAATTATTTATTAAATGAATGAAATATATTTACCACATAATGGAAATAAAATACCTGAATGAACTAAATTTTTTAATCACCTCTTTTATACTTGGTTTTTGCATGAGGTTTTTCTGATATTTCTGGTAATGGCATGACAATACAGATATTGCAAAGTTCTATGCAATACAGGGGAAAAGTTCTATGAAGTTCTTTAGTTGAATAATGATGATAAAATATCTATTCTTTCATATATAGGATATTCTAAGAGAATTATAGATTTTTAAAAATGTATACAAGGGTTTGATCTTTTTACCTGCCATACTACCATGTTTCACAAGAGGCACTAATAATAATAAAACTAGTAATTATACTAACAATATGGTTATTAGTAAACTAGAGTCCCAGTGCACAGATTCATGCACTGGTGGAGTCCCTCAGCCTGGCCTGTGGGGATTGGGTGGAAACTGGCTCTCTGACATCCCCCCGAGGGGTCCTGGATTGCGAGAGGGCGCAAGCCAGGCTGAGTGACCCCACCAGTGCACGCACTGGGCCTCTAGTATTTCATATATGATATTTGGTTAATCTCTTCCCGCCCTCCCCTCTCCCCTCTTCCCTCTGAGATTCATCAGTCTGTTCCATATTTCCATGCCTGTGATTTCCGCTCCTACATTGAGCGTGTGCCTCCTGGTGGTCAGTTCCCATAATAGCTACCAGCCAGTTGGCCTGTTGGCCGGTTGGCTGGTAGCTTAGGCTTTTGTATATATAGATGAGAGTATACTATGTACTAGGCCCTTTTACATTCATTGTTATATTACAACAATCTAGTAAGATGAATGTTATTAACTTTATTTTATAGATATAAAACGAAACCTCAGAGATTTGCCTTAGTTCACAATGCTAGTAACAGCTGAGGCAGGATTTAGATTTAGGACCTGATCCAAAATATGCTCTATGTTATATGAAAATGTTACCTTAATTTTATAGGTGTATGCTGAGTTATACTAGGTAAGTTATGCTTAAATATTTTAAGATATCTTAGTGAATTAACCAATTATTTTTAGGATATCATAGTTCCTATTTTATAGTAATCTTAACAACTCATTCATTGAGTATAATACAGCATTCATTACCATAACTATAGTAAAGCAGAGTATTATTTCAGTATTTGCAGTGAATTTGAAGCAATTAAAGAACATGCATTAAAAATCCCTGAGACAACAGAAGAGATGATGGATCTGATAGCTTATGTCGAAAAAGCCCGAACCATAAGAATGCAGGATTTGATTTCAAGAATCCAGGTAAGAATATTTAATTTACATATTTTAAAATAGCTTTTTCATTGTGAAATATGATAAACATATAGTTAAGTAAATAGTTATAATGTAAGCATCTATGTTGCCACCACTCAGGTCAAGAAACCAGCACCCAGAAGCAATTTGTGTATGGCTTTCTGATCATAGCTACTTCTCTCTCCTAGAGGTTCCCACTTGGTTTCTACACTAATCACATATATTTTTCCTTTAGTTCTTAGAACTATATATACATCCTTAAACAGCATAGATTTTAATTTTTTCTTTTATAGTTTCTCATTTGGTAGTATGCTTATGCCTTACCCAGTACAAGATTATATACCTCATCATATATATTGCACTCTAATTTTTTACTTAAAAATGTGAAACATAACACATACCAAAAATTGCATAAAACATAAATTGTACAATTTGAAATATTGTAAATACAGTAATTCACCCAGGGAAAGAGATAGAACCTTGCTAACACCCTAGAAACCCATCACAATCTCTTTTTTTTCTGGTGCTCCTGACTTTTAATCACTTCCTTGCTCTTCTTTAGTTTTATTATCTATATCTAAATATGCATTCCTAATCAATATAGTTAACTTTTGTTTCTTTTGATCTTTATATAAATAGAATTACAGTTTCTATTATTTTCTGTCTAGTCAATATTTTGTTAATAATGTTATAGTTCTTGCCCTAACCAGTTTGGCTCAGTGGATAGAGCATCGGCCTGCAGACTCAAGGGTCCCAGGTTTGATTCCTGTCAAGGGCATGTCCCTTGGTTGCGGGCACATACCCAGTAGGGGATGTGCAGGAGGCAGCTGATCGATGTTTCTCTCTCATTGATGTTTCTAACTCTCTATCCCTCTCCCTTCCTCTCTGTAAAAAATCAATAAAATATATTTTTTAAAAAATGTTATAGTTCCTTTAGTTCATTTTCATTGCTGTCTAATAATCCATATTCTATAACTACCATGTACATAATTTATTATTTTAATTTTACTGTTTTGCATATTTGGGTTGTTCCTGCTTTTATTAATAGCATTGCTGCTGGGAATATTTCTGTACATGAATCCTGGTGCATATATTCATGTATTTCTCCCAGGTAGTATAAGGTATACTTATTTTCACCTTTACTAGTTAAGGCAAAACTCTTTTCAAAAGTAGTCAGCAGTGTATACAGGTTCTATTATTTTACATTCTAAACCATACTTGCTATTATGAGATATTTAACATTTTGCCAGTCTGATGGATGGTGGTTACTATATTTTTAATTTGCATTTTCCTGAAAACAAATGAATTTGAACACTTTTCATATGCTTAATGATCATTTAGAGTTCCTCTTTTGTGAAATGCCAGTATATGTCTTTTGCCCATTTTTCTTTGTGCTCATGATCTCTTTTTCCTATTGATTTGAGTTTTTAAAAAATTATGATAATATATAACAAAATTTACCATCTTAACCATTTTGAGTATATAGATCAGTATAGTAGTTTTGAATATATTATTATTGATAAGTATCCTTTCTTCACTCTGTAATTTAACTTTAATGGTGTTTTTCATGAACAGACATTCTTAATTTTAATGCAGTCAAATAGAGAAATCTTTTATAGCTAGTGCTTTCTGTGTCTTATTTAAGAAATCCTTTCCTACACAGAGTTATCAAGCTTGTTTTTTTTCTTGTATATTTTTTAAAAACATTTTTTATTGATTTTTAGATAGAAATGAAGGGAGATGGAACGATAGAAACATTGATGAGAGAGCAACATCTATTAGCTGCCTCCTGCATGCCCCCTACTGGGCCATGCAACCAGGCCATGTGCCCTGACCGAAATTGCACCAGTGACCTCTTGGTTCATGGGATGATGCTCAATGCACTGAGTCACACCAGCCGGGCTTCTTGTATCTTTTTTGAGAACCTGTTTAGTTTTGCCTTTCAGTTAGGTTTCAGTCCTCCTGGAATTTTATTGTTGTGAATGATGTGAAGTCAAATTTAATTATTTTTCCATATGTATGAGCAGTTATATATATATATATATATATACACACACACACATATATACACATATATATATACACACATATATATCCATATGCATATATATACATACATATACACACACACACATATATATACACACACATATATATGTATACTAGTTTCAGATTTTATTTTATTTTTTTATTGTTGACACTATTACAGATGTCCCCCATTAATCCCCCCTTTGCTCCCACCACCCAGCCCTCACTGCCCTTCCCCTGTCTCCCTCCCCCACCCCTGCCTTTACCACATTGTTGCTGTATCCATGGGCTATGCATATATGCATATATGTTTGGCTCTCTGAGATCTGTCTATTCCATGTATCCATGCCTCCAGCCCTACCTTGTTCATCAGTTTATTTTGTTCATTAGATTCCACATATAAGTGAGATCATATGGTATTTGTCTTTCTCTGAATGGCTTATTTCACTTAGCATAATAATCTCCAGGTTCATCCATGCTGTTGCAAAGGGTAAGAGTTCCTTTTTTTTGGTAAAGCCGCATAGTATTCCATTGTATAAATGTACCATAGCTTTTTTTATCCACTCATGTACTGATGATTAGTGATGTTGAACATTTTTTCATGTTTATTGGCCATTTGTATGTTCTCTTTGGAGAAGTGTCTATTCAGGTTCTTTGCCCATTTTTTAATTGGATTGTTTGTCTTCCTGGTGTTGAGTTGTAGGAGTTCTTTATATATTTTGGAAATTAACCCCTTATCAGACGTATCATTGCTGAATATGTTCTTCCATACAGTGAGTTCCCTTTTTATTTTATTTTAATTTTTTTAATACCCAAGGATATGTTTCCATTGATTTTAGAGAGAGAGGCAGAGGAGAGGGAGAGAGAGAGAGAGAGAGAGAGAGAGAGAGAGATCAATTGATTGTCTCCTTGCCTCGTGTATGCACCCAACTAGGGACCAAACCTGCAATCTGGATATGTGCCCTGACAGGGAATCAAACCTGTGACCCTTCTCTACCATGACAACACTCCAAACAATTGAACCACACTGGCCAGGGCTCCCTTTTCATTTGTTGATGGTTTCTTTTGCTGTGGAGAAGCTTTTTAGTTTGGTATAGTCTCATTTGTTTATTTTTTCTTTATTCCTCTTGTCCTTGGAGTTTTATCTGCAAAAATACTGCTATGCAAGTTGTCTGAGATTTTACTGCCTATGTCTTCTACAATTTTTATGGTTTCTCAATTTAAGTATTTTATCCATTTTGAGTTTATTCTTGTGTATGGTGTAAGTTGGTGGTCTAGTTTTATTTTATTTTTTGCATTACCTGTCCAACTTTTCCAACAACATTTATTGTATGCACCTGCCTTCTTTGTCAAAATTAATTGACCATAAAGGTGTGGGATGATTTCTAGGCTCTCTGTTCTGATCCATTTATATAATACCTGTTTTTGTGCCAATACCAGGATGTTTTGATTACAGTGACCTTGTAGTATAGTTTGATATCAGGTATTGTGATATCTCCAACCCCATTCTTCTTTCTCAAGATTGCTGAGGCTATTAGGGGTCTTTTCTGGTTCCAAATAAATTTTTAGAACATTCTTCTAGATCTGTGAAATATGACATTGGTATTTTATTTTAAAAAGATTAAAAATATTTCTTACTGATTTTTATAGAGAGGAAGGTAGAGAGGAAGAGAGAGAGACACACACATCAATGTGAGAGGGAAACAGTGATCAGCTGCCTCCTGCTCACCCCCTGCTGGGGGATCGAGCTTGCAACCTGGAATGTGCCCTGACCCGTTCAGTGCATAGAACAACACCCAACCAACTGAGCAACACCAGCCAGGGTGCCATGGGTATTTTAATAGGAATTGCATTGAATCTATAGATTGCTTTGGACATTTTAATGACGTTAATTCTTCTGGTCCATGAATACGGTGTATGCTTCCATTTATTGGTATCGTCCTCTATTTCTTTCTTCAATGTACTATCGTTTTCTAAGTACAGGTCTTTTTCCTCCTTTGTTAAGTTTATTTCTAGATACATTTTGTTGTTGTTGCAATGGTAAATGGAATTCTTTTTTAAAAATAATTTTTATTTATTTCAGAGAGGGAGAGAGAAATAGAAGCATCAATGATGAGAGAGAACCATTGATCAGCTGCCTCCTACACATCCCACACTTGGGAACCTGGGCATGTGCCCTGACCAGGAATCAAGCCATGACCTCCTGGTCACACAGGCCAGGCTGGGATTTTTAAAAAAAATATATTTCTTTATTGATTTTTTACAGAAAGGAAGGGAGAGGGATAGAGAGTTAGAAACATCAATGAGAAACATCGATCAGCTGCCTCCTGCACACCCCCTACTGGGGATGTGCCCGTAACCAAGGTACATGCCCTTGACTGGAATCGAACCTGGGACCCTTCAGTTCGCAGGCCGATACTCTATCCACTGAGCCAAACCGGTTAGGGCTGGGATTTTTTATTTATTTATTTATTTTTAGTTTCTCTTCTGAGAGTCATTATTTGTGTATAAAAATTCCACTGCTTTCTGGATATTAATTTTGTATCTGCTACTTTGCAAAATTAATTTATTAACTCTGATAGTTTTTTGGTGGCGTCTTTAGGGTTTTCTATGTACAATATCATGTCATCTGTGAATAATAACAGTTTTACTTCCTCATTTCCAATTTAGATGCCTTTTATTTCTTCTTCTTGTCTGATCACTGTGGCTAGGACTTCTAGCACTATGTCGAATAAGAGTGGTGAAAGCGGACATCCCTGTCTTGTACCTGTTCTTAGGGGAAATAGTTTTAGGTTTTGCCCATTGAGTATGATGTTGGCTATAGGTTTGTCACAAATGGCCTTCATTATGTTGAGATATTATCCCTCTATTCCCACTTTGCTGAGAGTTTTTATCAAAAATGGGTGTTGGATGCTAAGTGAAATAAGCCAGTTGGAGAAAGATAAATATCATATGATCTCACTCATATGTGGGATATAATG